ACAACTTTTTGGTACATTTTTGTTTTTTTCAGAAATAACATACTTCTCCCTCACACATTCACTCTAATAATACAAATATACTGCATATATCAAGTATGCATAAACTATTAAAGCTTATATATCATATTGCAGTGCAGGAAAGTAAATGGTCTCCAACATTAAAGTCTCAAATCTAAAACTAAAATTAAAATGAAAGTTGCTCCTCAATACCTGGGTTGAACTGAATATTTTATTACAGACATTGTTCCAATTTAAGTTTTCAAATTGTAATTACCACTTTTCCTGCCCTTTACTTTTTACTTCTGTAGATACCAATGAAAAATAAATATGCTTTGAACCTGACTTGGAACTACAAATACATGTAGTTTCAACCACAAAGCACTGGTCCTCCACAGAATCTGTAGGCACTTCAACTAAACTAAGTGAGTGAGTGAGTATGGTTTTACGCCGCTTTTAGCAATATTCCAGCAATATCACGGCGGGGGACACCAGAAATGGGCTTCACACATTTTACCCATGTCGGGAATCGAACCCGGGTCTTCGGCGTGACGAGCGAACGCTTTAACCACTAGGCTACCCGACCGCCCCTCAACTAAACTAAGAGATTTAAGGTATTGTTTAATGCTGCTGATAACAATAGGATGAACAGATATAATACGTTTCATTAAATTTCTCATATGACAGAAACTCCTTATCTGCCTTAACCAAGTCTTTCAAACCAGTATTTCAAGAAGACTGACTTCCTATTAATTTTAATATTTGGGATATGAAAACTACTGACAGATTCTGGCTTGATTTTCTTATCAAGCACTAAAAATGTTTTTTCTCCAAAACTCATTACTTATCAAAGATAATTTTCTCTCAAAGAATGTTACGCCAAATTCACCAAGACCACACAAATAGAGATATGTAGATTTAAATAGGTAATGCCATTTGTTATCACCTGAGAACACAAGTCTGCTTATCCAAGTATGTATGAAAACATATTCACTATATCTAAGCCCCCCTGCTAAACAGGTTGATAAACTATTATCCCCTTTTCTTTGTCTCTTTTATCACTCTTTTTTTTTTAAAAAAGCATGTTATTTAAAGTAGCAAGAAAATCATTTGAAGGATCAGGCAATGATAACAATAAATAATTGAGTTTTGATATCAACAAGGATTTATTGATTGCCACCCTACCTTTTGGTGTAACTATCTGTTTCATAAGCTATTCCTATTTATCTATTTTCTATTTATCATGTGTCCATATTCCATAGTTTGGTTGCTCTCTGTCAGTTTTCAAATTGGCAGGCCTGTAAAATTGGGACTGAATAAAACTAACAGAATGTCACACAGTAAACATTTTTTAATTTTGGACTAGCTTTGGACTCCTCTGGACTAGTTTGTTTTAAAAAAACCAACTGATTTTCTAAGTTCGTTTACTGTTGTGAAAACTACCCCCATTTGATATTATCATCTCATTGGAGAACTTGTGAAGACAATGAAAGGACAGTTATGGAGTGATTGTCTGTGACACTAACTTTTCCTTCTGGTTTGGTTTGTTGTTTAGCGCCGCACTCAGCAATATTCCAGCTATATGACGGCGGTCTGTAAATAATCAAGTCTGGACCAGACAGTCCAGTGATTAATATCATCAGCATTGATCCAATTTTTAAAAAAAAAATTCTAAGGGAATGTGACAAGAAAAACATAGCACTTTTGTTCAACGTGACAATGATGAATATTACAAAATATGTACAACATCATTTTCCCTGTAAGATGTCCCTCAAACATAAGATCATCATAAATTAATTAATAGATTTTCTTCTTTGTCTCACTACCAAACAGCCCACCTCACATCATTGTGTTGTCTCCAAGCACCAACAAAAACAACTGCTCTTTGAATCGTCTTGTAAAACAGTACATACATAGTCCTACCAAACATTCATGCTTCATATGAATCACATCCATAATAGATAATAACACAGATATCTAAAGACAGTTTGTTTGAAGAAAATAAATACCTTATTTTCTTGAGTATAGTGTGCACCCATGTATAATGCGCACCCCCTCTAGCAGATTCAGTATTTTGGAAAAAAAATTTGAATGTCAAGCGCAGAAAAAAATGACACCATAGAGCTACCCCTTCAGCGAATTCCGGTAAACGAACGGGTGATAAGAAACTTGGTCAGTACATATTCGAAATTACCTGGTGTATTTTCTCCTATACTAAGCCGGAAACAGCAATCAGCTGACACACGTTTTCTTGGAATCTACCGGTGATTCGGTCAAGACACACCCAATGATATAACTTTACAGGATTTTAATGCAAGGATCGGCAAAAATTGAATCTGAAACTATTTTTTTTAATCCGGAATAATATATCCCAATATCTTGTTAACTTAGTTGCAGCTTTTACTGAACATATTTTAAATAACTCTAAGCGAAGCAGCTGATCGCTATTGTCGGTTATCATTTTTCACATAGAACCAGTCTGACCAGTCACCATCAAGGCTCCCGAGCACGTGATCGCATGATCGCGAGAACTAAGTGTTGACATAGAATCGTCAAACTATAACAAATATGACTTTAAAGAGTCAAACTATGGCATTTATGATATATGTATCCATTCTCTGTCAACTAATGTTCGTTTCAAGGCGTCAATAGCGGTAATCCAGATACATACAAAGAACACTTTTTATAGCCAGACAGTGTAATAACACGATTAGTTTGCGTACTTCGGTATGGATTTGTTGACATGGTATTTCCAGTGATACGTGATCACAGTAATATCTTTTACCCCCTTTTACCCCCTTCTACACAGCTGTGTTTTTTGGAAAAGAAGTGCGCACCATACTCAAGAAAATACCGTAAATGCCAAAGTCTAAATAGTAAAAGCATGACAGAGGAGTTCATATGTACATGTCAGATATCCAACAGCAAAAAGTTATAAAAGAGCTGTAATCATGGTAATTGCCAAGGTTAACATAAATACATTCTGGAAAGAGCACTAACCTTACTTGCATAGATCAAACAATTAACAGAACATCTGAGAATATATATATCTCTATCTCTCTCTCTCTCTCTCTATATATATATAAATATATATATCATAAGGACTCTTTAATAAGTTAAAATAAATGTACCCCGGTACAGATCAATATTTGTTGAAAGACATTGAAGCTGACACAACACGTGAAAGTTTCACACCAGCAGTTATCCATCACAGGCTGATCTCTACACGTTTCATCCACAACTACACAAAAACATTGTGAATACTACATGGGTTGGGATATGTAATGGAGAAATCATGAGAATATGCTGATTCCGGAAGCAGAATCAAGAAGCCCTGAAGAGGCGAGTTTAATCTGTGTCCGTAATCTCCATATTTGAGCAATTTCTCTGACTTAAACCATGTGATGGTTGATATATAATTTCTCTACAATTGTGCATAAAGACCTACATATGTGCCAGTTGTACTTGTTAAAATGCACTTTCAGTATGGCTAGTTAGTTCCTGGCTCAGAATCAAATGCAACAACAACAGCATGATGTCATGATAATGGTCTAAAGTATGTTCCAAACATCACCCATGAGTGAGTGAGTGAGTTGGGTTTAACGCCGCTTTTAACAGTATTCCAGTTATATCACGGCATGTCAGCTTAATGTGGGAGGAAAGCCCGAAGTGATGCAGGTCTTGGACGTTTACCACTTCGGTGAAACCCACCAGCACGGGTATGGTGCTGACAAACCTAGAAACATAATCGGGGCGAACCGGAATTCGAACCCACAATCATAGGTTTCTAGCATGCCCAAGGGACGCAACTCTGCACAGCGAATCACGGCATCTTAGACGACTGGGCCACCCGTGCCCCCACATCACCCATGAAGACAGACAGCTGATATGTACTGTAGTTGTGACATGTCTAATGTTAGTCAAAGACTAATAACATCAATGCTTGCACTTCTTCAGGAATGTCCAAGAAACCTTGTACTGATGTTAGCAACTTTTTGATTCTAGAAAGTCACCAATTAACATACTGGTGGGTTAAGCATATAAAATACCACTACAATGATAAGTAAGCAGTAAATAATGACCAGGAAAGCATATAAAAGTAAAATGGCTAAAAAACATCCATTTATCAACAACAACACAGAATAACACATGTCTGCCATGTCAAGGGAGCGGACTATTGAACCTTGGTAGTTACTTGCAACCCAAGTTAAGTGACAAGGTTCTGATTGCACGATTAACCCTAATTTAAGGCACTGACCTTAAGTTTGTGAAATTCCAATAAGATCAATTTCACGATAAGATTATTTTAAAAATGCCTATCTACCTAAAGCCATAAAAAACTTTTGGCACTCATTCCATACTTTTTAAGACATTTTACATTCTAAAGTTGCTAATCCAACCAGTATGAGCAAACTTAGAGATCACTAAGACTAAGGCTGCTTGTCACACAAAGAATACAATCTCATTAAAATCAGAACCCATTTCAGGTCCATAACAGGAAGTTGACATTAGCAAATCCAAAAGCAGCTTTCTCAAGCTTAACAGTGTTAGTTCAAAACTGGCGCCTTCCATTAAAGACTATGTTTTGAAAAATGTTTTGAAAAAGTTCTTGCTTCAAAAATTGAAAAGTGAACAAATGAAAATTCTGGAATGTCTAATTGATGGCCACAACTCTGTGACAGAACTTCCCAAAATCTATAGAAAATCTCTTCTGTTTCAAATGCTTATCGGAATGAAGTGAGAGACAGACAATGATTTTGACTGAATCAGTTGTGCAGCCTGTAACTGCCGTTGGAATGCCTCGTGTGAACCTTTTTCAGTTTGGATGAATAGAAAACACATTTGATGCTCTGATTGGTCGGATGAAAGGTCGTGACGTGACCTGTAATGGAATGTTCTCAGATGGAATGTGTAACAGTAAGAAGCACAAAGATCAGAGTACAAATTGTCATTCTGTACAAATATATTTCTAAAAGTTTCAAATTCATGTTCCCCCGTTATTCTCATACTCAAACACTTGGCCTAAGACACAAGACACATCTAGCGCACATAATACCACCTGAGAGTGTGCACATGTTCTACCACTAGAGTGAGTGAGTGAGTATGGTTCTACGCCGCTTTTAGCAATATTCCAGCAATATCACGGCGGGGGACACCAGAAATGGGCTTCACACATTGTACCCATGTCGGGAATTGAACCCGGGTCTTGGGCGTGACATGCGAACGCTTTAACCACTAGGCTACCCGACCGCCCCCTCTACCACTAGACCATGGAGGTTGTTGTTGATTATGTTGATGTTGTTGCTAAGGTTGATTAATGAAGCTTATCAATACTGGTATCATTCGTCGATAGCACCAACTCCACAGGTAAACCTGGACTTCTGTTTTGTGACTTGCTATATCTTGTGGACTCGTTGAGTGTCCCCATCCATTCAGTCATATAAACCTGACAATCCTTGAGTATCTTCAAATAGAAACATGTAAAGGTGGAAGGTGTTTGATTCGACAACATGAGAGTTAGTTTGGAGATGTACACTATTCCTCCAAGTGACTAGACGCACGATGTGACTTGAGTCAGATGAGATTGTTGAACCCCTGCAAGGTTAAAACAAGCAGTGTAAAATTGACCTGAATAACAGATACATGGCTTATGGATAATTATTGCGAGAAATACCAAATGGGCAATGTATCATGGTATATTCGAATAAGAACACATACTAATTACCTGTTTATTAGAGGAGCTGTTATAACAGCCTACATTATAATGTTATGAATTAGCCCAGATCTAATATGTATGAATGGTGAGTGAACGGTGTCTTTGTGTTGTCTTGTAAAACCGCCCACATGTTTTCTAATCACTTGTATCTGATTTTAATGAGATTGAGGTATTCTAAGCATGTGATTAATCCTGTTTTCTTTATTAAAAGCATTAATTGTTTCTTGTTAAGCAAGTTTATCTCTGCAGCCGTTGCAATATGCAGCTACCAGCTACCAGCGGGCAGATGACCACGGAGAACGCTGATCAGTGTCGGATTAACGAAACTGATTAATGAGTGATTTTGGTATTTTGTTGCAAATTAGGTGTGTGCAAGACTTTTGGATTAACGGGTCTAAATAGCACTGATATAATCGGTTCCCATCATTAGTGTTGGATAAAGCCGATTGTCGGATTAACGAGTGTCGGATTAACAAGACTTGACTGTAGTTACTGAAATGTTACAGGGACAGACAGAGTAGACTAAGTCTGTTTGGCAAGTAATATATATCACTCTCAGTCGAAGAATATATTTTCATGGGAGACAAGGAATAGTAGACTAAATCACACATAGCATAATACGATAGGGAGATTCAGTGAGTTAGTGTCATAAGGAGAGGTGCAACAGTTTTGAGAAGTGAACAATGTACATAGTAGGTCCCACATGAGAAAGTCTAAGCAGATGTTTTTTGTGTAAATACAGGCTTTTCTTACATTTTTTATTTTATCTATGAAATTTTGGGTCAGCAGCTAAACAAACAAACATATCAACAAAAACATGCTTCATGTCACTCACCGTTATTTTCTTTGCTGGTAGGCTGACTCTGGTTTGTGTTGACTGGTTCATAATAATTCTTCTTCTTCTTCTGAACACGTTCTGAAAAAAACAAATAAACATAAACCTTCAATGGGTTTCAGAAATTTCGCTGTCAAGAGGAAAGAAATATAAAATGTTGTTCTCTTCTAATATCATGTGTCAGTAATATGAGTGAGTGAGTTGGGTTTACCGCTGCTTTTAACAGTATTCCAGTTATATCGTGGCGTGTCAGCTTAATGTGGGAGGAAAGCCCGAAGTGATGCGGGTCTCAGACGTTTACCACTTCGGTGAAACCCACGAGCACACGTATGGTGCTGACAAACCTAGAAACATAATCGGGGTGAACCGGGATTCGAACCCACAATCATAGGTTTCTGGCGTGTCCAGGGGACGCAACTCTGCACAGCGAATCACGGCGCCTTAGACGAATTGGCCACCTGTGCCCCCGTCAGTAATATGGAGTGCTTATTCCAGCTTAATCGCGGCGTGTCACCTTATTGTGGGAGGAAGACCCGAAGCAATGCAGGTCTCAGACATTTACCACTTTGGTGGAACAGATCTCCACGTGTATGTTAAACAATTAACAATTGTATTATAAAATTACAAATCAATACATATTACTGCAAAGCAATTACAATGGCAGTGAACAATAGAGTGGCAGTACAAAATTCAATGGCAGTACAACAATGGCAACATAAACTAAAATAGCAGTGGTAATAGCAATAAGGTCAAAGATAACATATTCACCAAGCAGCAACAGTGGTCAAGCTTTCTAAATATGCCAAGACGGGATATACAGGGTGAAAAGTATGATCTTCACACAACTGCTGGTTTTGATGAAAATTGAGATGTGAGACACATGCACTTGCCCCCTTACAGTCTAAATACCTTCTAGAAAGTTCCATACCTTGCTTGATTAGTCTAGAAGATTCCAGATTACACTTGACTCCAAAAAGCATCAAACTATAGTAACTTCCGCACCACTACTTACATTAGATAGTTATACATTCCTGACAACTAATTATTGTGAATACACAATGCCATTTAGAAAGTGATCAAATGTAACAAATGTTATATTTGGGATAACACTTTCTTAGTAAAGTACAGATTCTCATACTTTTTTTGGTTGAGTCCTGTCCGGGATTCGAACCCACACTTGCCAGAGTGAGGCACCTAATCGCCAGCACACAAAGTCAGCGATCTAACCCACTCAGCCACCGAGGCTTCCACAAAAATGAAAGTCCGACAACTGGTAGTCTAGATCACATACTTTGAGTACCCCTTTGACAAGTGTAAATTGGCATTGGGTTAGATTGCTGACTTTGTGTGCTGGCGATTAGGTGCCTCACTCTGGCAAGTGTGTCCCGCACGGGACTCAACCAAAAAAAGTACGAGAATCTGTACTTTACTAAGAAAGTGTTATCCCAAATATAACATTTGCAACTAATTATTGTAAAACACAATGTTAGGAACTTCTGAATCTTAACAGAAACAATTAACACAAATAAAAACATTGTTAAACAATAAATTATAATGCCATATAACAGTATTTAGTGGTTCAATGACAATTCAGATGTTTAAATGCATCTTAAATTTAAAATTGATTTCTTGAACCCCATAGACCCCATAGAGGAATACTCGTTGAATACAGGACCCTTGTGCATCCTTGTCTGTTAGGCAAATATTTACCCACAGGATGTCTCCTGGCATGTATTACTTAAGCTGATGATAGTCATACTTTAAACAAGAAAACGTCAACTTACTGTAAACAACAACAGCAACAGCAACAACAACAGCAACAACAACAGCAACAACAACAGCACCAACAGGAACAACAAGTAGGGCAAAATATCTGAAAGAACCCGATATAACAGATGTTTAATAGTGATGAACTCCAACATTTCTTGTCTGTTGACATTGGGGAGATATTAGAATCAAATTGCTGATGTTTCAACAGCAGATATATTAATGATATCAATGTATGAGATTGGGTGATCTGGTCGTAACACCAGATGAAATGCGGGAGTCTCGCAACATATGTCGACTAGAGTGACATGGGTAAATTGAAAAGTTTGTGGTCTCATAGATATTGCTTTGTGTAATGGGAGATTTCAACACCTGTTTGAAGAATATCTTGGTGAGGTGAAATGGGGTTTAACGTCGCATCCAAGATTATTGCACTTATATATTGCTGCTTGTACTAATCCGGACTGATGCCAGTTTATAGAGCTAGCATACTGAGATACCATGCCGCAGTTTAACATGAATACCCCACTCAGACACAGTATACTGACTCCGAGCCGACCAGTCCTTGTTTTAGCCCCTTAATGCCGAGCGCCAGACAGGGTAACAACAAGTGCCATCTTTTAACGTCTTTTGGTATGACGCGACCGGGGAACAAACCCCACACCTTCCGCGCTCCGGGCGGACGCTCTACCACTAGACCACGGAGGCGGTCTAAAGAAGAATATCTTGGAAGACATAACACTAAGTTACAGACAGATAATCGCATAATAAGTCAAGTAGTCAATAATCCAAGATGCAATATCTGAAGCGCAAGTGAAGGCTGCCCACCCGATGGTAATGAATGATTATTGACTCATCATATCACTGACACTATTGGGATCAGTTTTGGGTCAGTTCAGTTTATCTTAATTGACCACACAACAGGAGCAAACTGCCCATAAGATGGGTATCCAGAATGTTGACACCAGATCAGATAGTTCATATATATAGGTTGTTAACAATGGTGAGCTAACATAGATTTCCAAGAGACTAAGCATGTTCCTAGGAAGGCGATAACACGTCTATAGACACTGTTATTGTTGTATATATGCTTGTCAACCATACCCTGTACATCACTTGCTTGATAACAGTGTTTAGACCCTACACAGAAACGTCGCTCTTAATTGTAATAAAGAAGTTGTTCATCCATAAATACTATCCTTACCAGATCAGAGTGAGTGAGTGTGTTGAGTTTAACGCCGCTTTTAACAGTATTCCAGTCATATCACGGCGTGTGGGAGGAAAGCCCGAAGTGATGCAGGTTTCAGACGTTTACCACTTCGGTGAAACCCACGAGCAGGGGTATGGTGCTGACAAACCTAGAAACATAATCGGGGTGAACCGGGATTCGAACCCACAATCATAGGTTTCTGGCGTGCCCAAGGGACGCAACTCTGCACAGCGAATCGAGGCGCCTTATACGACTGGGCCACCCGTGCCCCCTTACCAGATCAGAAGCTGATTCGACTGACAATATAGAAGGACCTCTTGACCAGTTATCAGTAGAATCTTGATAATTGTTTCAATCAATCAATTTATTTCGGTACTTTTAGGTCTCAGGCCTTTGTGTACAAACATTATGGTAATTAATTATGATAATTGTTTCATGTGAACTTTAACCAAGGATGAGACAATGATCCATCACTCTGATCCAGAATCAAAACATTCAGAGCAAACAGGAAATATTTGCCCTCACCCCCACCAAAGAACCCACTTTCAAGTTGAAATTTGTTGAAAAATAACACAAGAAGGAAAGGGCAAAGCGTTTGGGTCGAAGGCTTCAGGACAAAGCACCAGTGCACACACTACAAATGGCAGTGGCTGCAGCTGAATTTTTATGACTTTGAATTACTTCCTCATGCTGTTTTCAAAATAATCTTGACAAACTTACCCCTGGCTCTGTGGAACTGGATTATCTAAAAATGAAAATAATAAATCATAAGCTCAGGTACAGTGTTTCATGGTGGTTAGCTTCTGAAATATGCAGTGACCTTCAATTTAAAAATCTCAAAACAATAGTTATCACAGTGTATAATTTCACTGTGTATAATTTCAAGAATATTATCTCTATTACATGATAGCCATAAATTCCTATTTTGGATCTGAACTTCAGGCATGTCACAGTTAGAGGCTATAGATCAGGGCCCCCATGCACAAAGCGATCTTAGCGCTAAGATGATTGTAACTCCCATTCTTTAACATAGGCTTACAATAGTTGTAGCTCTAAGATCACTTTGTGCAAGTGGGCCCAGCACTTGCCTCAATACTGCAACATGTTGGACTCTCTTCAGGCACTCACTAAGTACTAAATTGACTTATGAAGACATTTTTATCTGGCAGATATAAAAGCCCCATACACTTTCCCAAAATTGAATTTATCAATCGTACTGTCAGCCCATGACAGATGCTACACTACTAACAGCTTCGAAAAAACCAAATTTTTCTCCTAGCTATGGCTACAGCAGCCAGCATGTTTGAGCTACATGCTTTTGATAATTCCTCAATTATGTTTGTTTGTTTGTTTGTTGTTTAACGCTGCACTCAGCAATATTCCAGCTATATGACGGCGGTCTGTAAATAATCGAGTATGGACCAGACAATCCAGTGATTGACATCATGAGCATCGATCCATGCAATGTGGATCGATGACATGCATCAACCAAGTCAGGGAGCATGACCACCCGAGCCCGTTAGTCGCCTTTTACGACAAGCATAGTCGCCTTTCACGGCAAGCATGGGTTGCTGAAGACCTATTCTACCCCGGATCTTCACGTGTCTCCTCAATTATGCACGCACAAGACTGGAGCACTATATCCTTCAGGACCCTATCAGAGTTTATTGCCCAAAAACAATCATCACGGCCCACTCAAACACAGACAATATACTATTCCTGCTCTGACAAGAGTGTGGATTATCAGGACATTATGTCCCATCAGAGCTCTGAGGTATTATATCATATATTCGTTAACCAAAGTTTGCTGAAGAGGTACAGTGTAATTTATTTTTGCGCATAATATTCAAATTGTTTTTTCCAAAATACTGAATCTGCTAGAGGGGGCTGCGCATTAAACTTGGGTGTGCACTATACTCCAGTAAATACGGTAGTTGGAAACATCGTTCAAGCATGTCTCCACATGAAAGATAGGGTAAGTTAAAAATTATGAATTTATGGCTATGAGGTAGGATATATAGCTTACAGTCATATGAATCATGACATTTCAGAGCAAAAGAAACTTGAGAATGAGTGATTAAAGGGGAAGTGTACACGCAAAAAACACTTTCTTTCTTTTTCTAAACAAAACACATTTTTAGAATTAGTTAGTATCTGTGTTTGAAAATATACACTCATTTTTTTCACAGTGAAAGTAGGAAGCTCACAATAGTGTGAAAATGATATGCCGTTATGAGGCCTTCGTTTTTCGAGCTAAACAGGCCTGAGTTATCCCCCTTAGATTATGACGTAATTGGTGCCAATTCAACTGGGTCCCTGTCTATTCTGAACGCAAAAGATATCAAGTACAAGTTTTCTGTAAAACAACATGGCCTACGACACACTCCGGCGCAGTGGTGACTCAGCATAACACTATGCTGGCTGGCATCTGAGACGCTAGAATCACACACCTGTACCTACACCACGTGAAGCGGCTCTAACAAAGCATGATGACGTCATAATGTTTATCAATTGGCACCAATGACGTCATATTGCAAGGGGTATAAGCCATGGTGTTTTTGTTATGGAAATAGAACACTTGGTAAATGTGAAAAATTTAAATCGTTTTAATGCAAAACATATGTTAATTAATTGTGATATTTTTATATTTTTGTCTATGACACTTCTAGGTTAACACTTTTATTGTGGAAAAAGTACAAGAAAATTAGATTCATTTCCGTGTGAACTTGCCCTTTAAGTGAAAACGTAACAGGTGTACAGTGGTATAGTCCTCACCACTTGAAATAGAATCACAAAATATCACAATCATTAATCAACAATGATAGCTGCATGCATGCTAACTGAAAACATGCCATTCCACTGATAAGGAATATTATTTACAATAATGACAAAAATTGCAAAGTGCACATTTTAAGAAATGTTAAGGATCAACAGTCAGGTGTCTGCGAACGACTATATTTAGCAGCATGTGGAGTGAACGTATATTACAAGCAGGAACTGAAAGAAAAACACATGCAGATTTTAATTTCAATTGACCAGGATCATTGCTAAATATAACTGCTCACAATCACCTGACTGTCGATTCTCACCCGGATGGTAACCATGTGATCAAAACTCGATGATGATCTTTATCATGAAGAAAATTTACTTATAAAAGTGCACTTGTCAATTATTTTTATTGCTTTAAGTAAAATTCCTTATCGGCAGAACGGCATGTTTTCAATGTATTAGCACACAAGCAGCTATCATTGTTAATTAATCGTGATTTTCCGGTGGCGAGGACTATAACATATGTGCAAAGATGATCAGATGATCGTCGAAGGATAACACAATCAACAGCTACAAAATGGCTTAGAATCATAATATGTTACAACGTTTTTAATACAAATATTTTATTAACTAATGTCAAAATGTTTTTCATGATATTATTAATATGAGTCAAAAGCAGAAGAAACTTGATAATGAGTGATCAACATAAGCGTAAACTTACCAAAAACACCTGTGGTAGTTGCAGGGGTGGTCCCTACAGGGGTGGTCCCTACAGAGGTGGGACCTACAGGTACACATATGCCTAAGGCATTCTCAGCATGACCGTCAATGCAAACACACCTGCCTGAAGCAGGAAGTACAAGATATATACCATACATATCATATTCAACATGTTAAACACCCCAAGGGTGGACACTAAGGACTATCAACTACACTGCATTATAACTTGTTTCTGAATTCTTCTTCCACTACAGATGGGCCATCTCTGATTATCCAGACTAACATGTGTGTTTGGCTGCTTCTACTAATGCTGATTTTAAACACAATACCACTAGTATGACTAGACCAAGGAGGTAGTCCAAGAGGTGAGAGGAGGTGGAGGGGAATGGATGAGTGGAGGGGAATGGATGAGTGGTGGGGAATGGGTGAGTGGAGGGGGGGTGGGGGGTGGGGGGAGGGGGGGTGGGGGGGGGGGGGGGTTGGGGGTGAGTGGAGGGGGTGAGTGGAGGGGAATGGATGAGTGGGGGGATGGGTGAGTGGGGGGGGGAAATGGGTGAGTGGAGGGGAATGGGTGAGTGGGGGGAATGGGTGAGTGGGGGGAATGGGTGAGTGGGGGGGGGGGGGGGGGATGGGTGAGTGGGGGGGAATGGGTGAGTGAAGGGGAATGGGTGAGTGGAGGGGAATGGGTGAGTGGGGGGGAATGGGTGAGTGGAGGGGAATGGGTGAGTGGAGGTGAATGGGTGAGTGGTGAATTGGTGAGTGGAGGAGATGGGTCTGGGTATATGATTGAATGGTTGGTAAATTTCCAATCTTGACCAGTCAAGCCAGAGGTTGACATATATCACATTGTCACCACCCATTCCTCATTGTGGTTGTTTCTTACAAGCCAAGACCACCTCCGTGGTCTAGTGGTAGAGCGTCCACCTGGAGAGCGGAGGGTTCGTGGTTCGATCTCCGGCTGTGTCATACCAAAAGACGTTAAAAGGTGGTACTTGTTGTTATCCTGTCTGGCGCTTGGCATTAAGGGGCTAAAACAAGGACTGGTCAGCTCGGAGTATACTGTGTCTGAGTAGGATATTCATATTAAACTGTGACATGTTATCTCAGTGAGCTATCACTATAATCGGCATCAGTCCAGACTAGTACAAGCAGCCACACACACGTGCATCCACGTCGCTACATAAGTGCAATAACCTTGGACGCGATGTTAAACCCAATTTCACCTCACCTCACCTCTTACAAGCCAAAATCTTATTGTCTCCTGAATCACAACTAACCAACAAGTATTGTATTATATTATATTAACTGTGGAACTAATAAGCATATGTTGGAGATGAGCCGTATGTTGACATGTGCACATAATTTGTCATTCCTAACCAAAATTGCACAAGATATTTGGTGAAATGAATTTTTACAAGCTTACCGGTCTTTGTTAATGTACTGTTTGTAGGACATGGTTCATCTCTTTTACGGCAATTATCGGGGTGTTCTCCATAATACCCTCTTGTGGTGTCACAAACACACACTGCGCCCATGGTTGGATCTTCCAAATTTGGCACCCTTGCCTCTGAAATTTGAAAAGGATTTTCAGTCAAAATATACACAACTGGAAAATAGCTATTGACTACAAGTGTTAGTACAGACATTATAATTTCCATTTTTTTAAAAATCTTTGAAGAAAAACTGATACTGACTCACGTTGAAAACGCATACTTGTTTTTTTATATTTAGAAAAATAGCCGCAAATTTAGTTCTCAGTAATTATTCCACTTTTTTCTTTTATTGTTTTTTATTTTCATTTTATTATTAAAGAAGTATCTTAAAGTGAAAGCTGCTCCTCATTTTTGAAAAGTTTATGATACAGCATCCTAGCTCCACAGAATTTCTGCTGATTAACTGTCTTGAAAGCAATATCTTTTTCAATGCGAAAAAAGGCTTTTCGTGAAAAAGCTTCTTTTTTCTACGGTTTGGTATTTTGGAAAATGCATCTATGAAAGCAGAATTTTGCAATAAGAAATAGTCAGTCAAACACTTTATCTGTATTTATGTTCTCTTTAGCTCAAAAAAGTTACATTAAATTGTATATTTATATACATATCCTATCTCACACTATGCATTTCTTCCTTCTTCTTTCTATCCTTGTGTGGAAACATCCTAAAACAAAGTTTCCAGCCTCTAAAACTTCTCGCATCACCATAGTCACCACCCAAACAAATCAGTCATGCACTCCACCCCTATGCACCGTGACCCGAGCAGTTTGGTCACCTGACACCCATCAGGTAATATCACTCACCAGTGGCAGTGCACACAAGCACACTTAAAATGAACAAAAATGGTCTATATATCTATCAACCGTATTACAATGCCATAATTAATACACCTGGTTATTTTGTGAACCCTAACTGGTTCTTGGCATTTCACTCATTCCACATGTGCTAAACACAGGCGCTGACCACCTGGGTGAAAACCATGTGGGCTCGGAAACATTACACAAAAAGGTCAAACAACAATAAATCCTCTACATTTGCTCCACAATGAGTAATAGAAAATGACTACAGTGAGAGTGACACCAAATTTACCTGACAGGCCATGAGAAATTTCCTGGTGAACCCTATACCACTGTGTGTGACCTCCAGGCAAGCTTCTCTCAGACTGTTGTGAAAACAGCAGTTCAATATTTATATAGTGTCCAGGGGGGGTCAGTCCTAACAATCCGGAAACTTGCTGTGTTCGTTCAAACTGTCCACACACAAATTCACAAACACATCGCCGCCCCCATCGGGAAGAGACGTGTGCGGACGAAAGACCAAAAGTTGTCTAACAGCTACATGCCACACATATAATATTCGTTGTGTACTTTTACGTAGGACATCATTTCAAAATTGACTGTGAAGCTTTGAAGTAGGGAACCTATTCCACCACAACTTATTACCACTTCAGAAGGGGTCTCCAGGCAATTAGTTCTTCAAGACAAACCACCACTAAAGCTTTAAGACGTAAGGCTATCGTCCCTTGAGTGTTTGAAGTCTGAGGAGGCGTGGAAGATTGTCAAACATAACCAAAAGGAGACCGTGGCACGGGTGACCTCAGAGTTGGCTGCTGAAGACAAAGGATTGACAAGCCTCTCCCGAGATCAGCGGAGTGAAGATGAAAAGCCTGAAGGGAGATGCAGAGTGCTCTGACCAGGCATAACGCGATGTCTTCACGTTCCTCCAAGTTTAGGATTGAAGCCAGGAATGGGATGGTGACCAATCTGTCTAGTTGCCCAGACAGATTGGAGTCCTTCAGAAGACAAAGATGAACCTTGCCGTGATGTCGCCTCTCAAAACGAAGTCTGTTGATGTCTGGTGCATGTATCTTGCTGACCCTTGCAGCTGTTGTCAGGAAGATGTGTTCAAAATCCTTTTCGTCCAGTGGCTCAAAGTCTGCCAACATCAAGTGGTGGAGTATGACATTCAGGTCCCAGGTAGGTGGGCGAAATCTGGATGATTGGAACGAGGTGAAGGCATCTCATCGGATGAGGTGATGAGGACCTGGCCTGGAAACCGTAGATATTTTCATGCCAAGTCATGGAAGTGATGACCGAGTTTATACCCTCTAGATATTGAGCTAACGTGGAGCCCTTAAGCTTCCTGGTAGACCGGGGATGCTGAAGGTATTCAGGAACTTGTTGAGGTGAAGCAGTGGTAAACAAGGTGATGTCTTGGCAATGGCAATATTCCTCAAAGGCCTTCCATTTATGATCATATAGAGCCTTAGTGGAGGAAGGATGAGCTTCAGTGATGGTCTTAGCTACTCTTCTCAAATACCCCTTGGCCACTAGGGACTTCTGGAGATGAACTAGACGCATAGATGGAGGGTTTCCAGCGATGGGTGCATGCAGGCTGGAGTTAGGCTGAAACAGAAGTGGATGGTGATTTCCGCTTGTCAGGTAAACCAGAGTGGTGAACATCTGTGAGCTGGACAATAGGGCGAGAACAAAAGCAGACATAGCTGTGGCGTGGCTGCAATCTTTTGAAGTAACTGAGGTAGAAGGCTTGTAAGGGGAAAATGCGTAGCCGTTGAAATTCTCCCACGATATGGCTAGAGCATCGTTCTCCCAAGCTTTTCGATCTGGGCGTGCGATGACGAACCTGGGTAACTGAGCGTTGAACCGGGTGGCAAAGAGGTCGACATCTGGAAAAGGGAAAAAGCAGGAAATCCACTTGAAAATCATCGGATGTTGTCACCACTCTGTTGATCCGGACGAGATAAGGATTTTGCTATAATGTTGATGATCCTCGGAATGGGGCGTGCTCCCAGACAGCTGACCAACTGGAAGAATTCCATCCCCTAAGAGACAATCTTCCAAAAGACAGACAATAACATAGCATGTTATGCTGCAGTTACGTGATGAAATGAAGACTAAGAGACATGGGAAGCTGTCAGAGAAAAGGTGTTCCCTTCCATCAAGAAAATGTGACAATCCACAAATCAATCGTTGCCATGGTTGCAATCCACCAGTGTGGATTTGAACTCCTTCAGCACCCCGCTGTCCGTCAGACTTAACTCGATTCCTAAACATAAAGAACTATCTAGGAGGAAACCATTTTGACTCAAATGATGACATCATAGCACCTGTTGAGAACATTTTGGAAAGACAAGGACTTTTACAAATCTGTGCTGAAATCCCTCCAACATTATTGGCCAAAGTGCATCCATGTGGAAAGGGATTATGTTGAAAAAACCCAAACATTCTTTCCGTGTGAACAAGAATACACGCGTGCTAAAAATCAACTAAAGTTTTTGTTGAGTGAAAGAATACATTTTTTTCAAAGTCACTGCATAGAATAGCACCAGTTTTTATTTCAGTCTGGAGCAAATGTTAGGTACCGTTATGTTAGTAAAATACAAGTATTCAGTCAGGAAGATATTTGGGTACAAAAACCTTCAACCACATTTTCAAATAAATAACCTTACAACACAGATATGCATGAATGAACACACACGTTTGTTGTTTAATGCAGCACTCAGCAAGATTCCAGCAATGTGACAGCGATCTGTAAATAATCGAGTCTGGACAATCCAATGATTGACATCATGAACATCGAACCATTCAATTGGGATATGATGACACGCATCAACCAAGTCACCGAGTCTGACCACCTGATCACACCCGTAGACAGGACTGTCATACAAAGAGATTACCTGCTGAGAGGCTCTGTATCAAGGGAGAAGAATGTTTTTAAAAAAAAATCACTGAAGTTAGCCAGGGGTCTGGGCTACTTTACAATGTATCTATATATTGTAATGGCATTTATCATAAATTTGGCCCTGAAATCCATGGATCCGTCGAAAGTTCTCATCTTTGTGTATGTCCTAATATTATCAAATTTAAGATGTATTTTCACTCACAACAGAAACTGAGTAGGAATACAATGCTGGAGCTTGTAGAAGTCAACACAACCGTCTAACTCCCTTTATAATATTGCGCAAAATGATCGAGAAGCCCTATCTAAATATATTGTCATCATAAGGTAATAGTGCACATTTATCGCATCATGATACTAAGTTTATCTGATTGGTTTCCAGGGATTTACCTTGGTCTATCTATTTTAGAGGCCAAGGGACTCACAGTTATACTTTTTGGCGATCCAAGGCTTTAGCGGTATGCATGTGCACTCTTCTGTGCAGAGTTTGGTTTCTGGTGTTCATGTGCAAAATGGTCCACAAGCAGGTCAAGTGTCTGGGTTCTCACTCGGTTTCGATAAGTGATAAACCTCTTAACCCGTAGGCAATCATAGTGTGAGTAATCTAATTACTGTATATATGTGCTCTTGTCAAATCTGACTTCATAAATACCTGGGCCCACTTGCACAAAGCGATCTTAGCGCTAAGACTATCGTAAGCCTATGTTTAAGTATGGGAGTTACGATCATCTTAGCACTAAGCTTTGTGCGAGTGGGCCCTGGTGTATTATCATCATGTCTTCGGTAATCTATGTATAGACGCTCACGTCTCGACATTCCGTTTCACTTTCATTCTCAATATTGAATGGAGACATCTGAGTTACTGGCTGTTTTATTTGTTTCAGCCATTTACCCTATACAAGAGTCAGATACGTTAATACAACGCAAGTTTAGCTGCCTTGAGTATATTGTTCAGTGGGGCTCCTGACCCGTGGTTATCTAAACCACCAGATTCCCTCCAGGGGTGAGACGGAACATTGAAGAAGGTCCCCAACTGACAACCTCACCAGAAATGTCAGTTATATGTGACATGCAACCAAACGTTGTTAGGTTTGATTCAACAAGACTTGCAGTTTTAACTACAAACGTTCATTCTCAATTTGCATGCATGTACATGCAATATTTTGCATCTGGTAAAACCCTGTATTTCTATGTGATAATTCAATGTATTTACCAGGAGAGCATATTTTCTTGGAGCACTTGAAACCATCTGCCAGTGTTGTGTTGGCTATTGGTTGGTACTTCCCTGGCGGACATGTCCTGCATTCATAGGAGGTGCCATTGGTCTTCACCGCTTCTTCTCCTGTTGGAAACAATGGTTTCATATGATTCTCAAAAATGGGAAACTAAGATTTATGCACTTTTTGACATTTAACACAGATAAACATAATGGATAAGAATATGCATAGTTTGTTGTCTAACGCTGCTCTCAGCAATATTCCAGCTATATGACGGTGTTCTGTAAAGATTTGGGCCAGACAATCCAGTGTTTGATAAAATGAGCATCAATCCACGCAATTGGGATATGATGACATGCATCAAGTCAGAGAGTCTGACAACCCAATCCCATCAGTCGCCTTTTGCAACAAAGCATAGTCGTCTTTTACGGCAAGCATGGATCGCTGAAGACCTATTCTAATGGAAGAATATGTAAAAAAACAATAGAAACTACAACATATATAAATGATAGAGAGAACTGCATCCAATTGTTGTGGATGTTTGTAACTTTTATCAACTCATCTTGATATATTTGATCTCGGAAGACACTTGGGAGAGATTGTCTAAGTGTCTTGAGTGAAAATACACAGAAGGCTGGGACAAGTCCAAATTTACTACCCAGGTACCCGACCCCCTATTTTTCGACCCTACCGGTACTGTAGGTCTTATGTGTTAGGTACAAAAAGTCAAATTAGGATTTGTTTTACCTGAGCCCTGGCGACAAGTATTTAGATACACATATAAAACGATCTGATCATTCATACACTGAAGTTGAATGACACTTTATCTGTACTCAAACATATCTAAGTCAAGAGGAATGTGTGCATAGACAGAAAAAAATGTGAATAAGGGAGATTTGTGTAACCATGGAGTTTTTGTCATCAATTATAAACCTCCGGTGACGTCATCCTATTGTTCTCCAGTCGGTTTAAATCTCATATCCTCACTGGATCCCGACATGTCCCTGGGATTTTATATAACATCCCAAGGATCTTATAGGATATTCAAGTCATATTTGCTATATAATGTGTTATAATATCCCAGGGATTTTATATAATGTCCTGGGTATTTTATTAATATAATGTCTGTTCAGATTGTAACATGTAATGAAATGTAAAATCAAATGACAAATGTTTTCTTTATATTGCCCAAGGATCGAACTCGCAACCTTCATATCTGTAGCCCAGTGAGTGTACCACAAGGCTACAGAGTTGTTGATAAGCCGCACTGCTTTTTAGAATGTCCTTTTCAAGATCCGTACGCCAACAACAGATATTTTACGCGAGTTTCCTAAGGTTCATGGAAAGTATGTTCGAAACATAAAAATGTTGATAAATGTTGTTTTAAGTTTCTTTTTTCGGTTTATAAGTAAGATAAAACACTTCCCCTCGGGTTGTTATGACATTTGAAACCCTTTCCCTCAGGATGCGGGTTTTAAATATCATAACAACCCTTGGGCATGTTTTATCATATACACAAAATATCACGCAACTAACCTCGGGTCAATGAAGTCATGAGAGACCCGAGTTTCCCATCCGAGCTCTAATAGTGATGTCATTTGATTGTGATGTCATGGTAACCAATGAGCATTGTGCTGCAATTTCATTGTTGCAATATCACCTATGAGGGACACAAACTCTGCACATAAAGAAGGAGATGAAAAGGGATTTAGTGTTCTTAGCATTCTGATGACTCAAGATTATTGCATCAATATGGTGACATGCATGTGTGTCTGCTTCAAATGTCCGGACGATTGCCAGACTTATAGTTTTGTTTTGTTTATTGCTTAACTCCGCATCCAGCAATATTCCAGGTATATGACGGTGGTCTGTAAATAATCAAGTCTGGACCAGACAATCCAGTGATTAATATCATGAGCATCGATCCACGCAATTGGGATCGATGACATGCATCAACCAAGTCAGCGAGCCTGACCACCTGATCCCGTTAGTCGCCTCTTCCGACAAGCATAGTCGCCTTTTACGGCAAACATGGGTTGCTGAAGACCTATTCTACCCCGGATTCCAGACTTATAGAGTTGGCCCACTGAGATACCATGCCACAGTTTAGCATGGATGCCACACTCAGACATACTAATTACTGGCTGACCAGTCCTTGTTTTAACTTCTTAATGCCAACAGATTGTCTCTGATGCCAAGCACCAGGCAGGGTAACAACAAGTACCATATTTTAATGTGTTTTGGTATGATAGGACTGGCGATCTAACCACCAACCTTCCACTGTCCAAGGCAAACGCTTTATCAACCAGCATTCATAACAAACATTAGTAGGTGTTCTGTTTTGAAATATTGAAGGAACAGAAAATTAACGAACAGTTATTGCAGATTATTTTGAGTTGGAAACTCTGATAAAGTTTGCAGAATATTGCCTGAGGTAAAAAAAAATGTGTCAAGACACTTTGCAATCCAATACTTCAGTGACAAAAACACACTCCCAGATCTCATCTGTTGTTATGGTAACAGTATAGTGATTTCTGACTTTACATACCAGCATTGCAAACCAAAGCCAGACAGGGACATGCAAATGTCTGCAATGAAATGAACACAAACAAATAAATAAAATAATAATGCATGTTAAAATGAAAAATGAAGCATACAACATGTACAAGGTTGGCTGGTTGGTTGTTTCTTGTTTAACGCCGCACTTGGCAATATTCCAGCAATATGACGGCAGTCTGTAAATAATTGAGTCTGGACCAGGCAATCCAGTGATAAACATAATGAGCATCCATCCACGCAATTGAGATACGATGACATGTATCAACACAAGGACAATACATAAGTATTAATATACTACTCAACACAAAAAACTTCACTTATATTATTCTTAAATAATCATTGTTTTGTCAAGATTATCACCAGTACAGTCACATTACACAACATATATAAATTGTGCATTATAAATCATCTTTATCATGATCAATGAGCCATGTTCTTAGAAATAATATTCGATGGAAAAATGGAAAAATATGTCCTATGAATACATCTCTGAAAGCTCACCAGCAACATCATCACACCTGACAGCAGCTTTATAGATGGTACTCCCATATTGTAATGATAATAGGGTGGCTGAAATGAAAGAAAAGATGATGGTTTGATGGCCACAAACATTTTGCCTGGAGACTATTTCAGTGACAAAATACATACATACAATATCAATATACAGTATTTGGAGTAAAAATGTGTATATATATGCACTCTAATTTTGAGGAAAGCTGACATATTTTTTTTACTTTAGTCAATAAAACTTCTCAATAACAGAAGTATGACCAAATAACAAGCACTGTTTTGGCTCTATAATGGCATCCGCTCATCCTCAGTTCCCACTTGCACAGGGGACATATAAAGTTTTATAATAGCTGTTTTATTAGTTGTTTTACTGTAAAATTTGCAGATGACACTGCACTTGTAGGTCTGAAATTTCTGATTCCTGATTTGTTTGTTTGCCGCACTCAGCAATATTCCACCTATATGACAGTGATCTGCAAGTAACTGATTCTGGACCAGACAATACAGTGGGCATCAATCCATGCAATCCAGCATAGTCGCCTTTTACAACAAGCATGGGTTGCTGAAGACCTATTCTACCCCGGATCTTCGCAGGTCCTGAAATTTCTAATACCGTATTCAACGTAATAAGCGCCCAGGGCACTCTCAAAATTAGAAATAGGGAGCTCTTATTAGAATATTATTTTGGTGAAAAACAACAGAGTTTAAAGATAAATTTTGTGGTTTATGCTGACAGCCTGAAATGTTTATATATATACGACATATATATTTTTCCAGAATTTAATTGCCTATAATTAAGGGTGCATATAACACACGAGTGCATATTATACGCGAATAAATAAGTCTTGTGTACATTGATCAATCCGAAGGGGTGCTAATATGGGATTGTACACTAGCCTAGTCAATATATTAGCAACTATTGCCGTGGGCGCTTATTACGTCGAATACGGTAGGTGTAAAGGCGGGATATTTTGCCCAAGTTCCTTACAACAGTTACCAAAATATCCGGCCAATTTACTAATTTTAGAATAGGGTTTGGGGTTCACGGCACTGGTCTCAGGGGTCCCATAGCAACAGCTCTTAGCCAATAGCCTGGGACTATGGGGTCACATGACAGGGGCCAGTGCTCCCGTGTGACCTCAAAACTTTTTAACCGCCTCTTTCTGCCTGCACTGCCTGGACACCAACATCGCCAGCTAGCCCTGCTCATTTTGTTTTAGGTAAGAGCACCAGTTTCTCTGTACGGCATCTATAGGTCTATTGTAGGCAATTATTGTATGGTCCAGTGCATAGTTATAACATTTTACAGGATTAAGAATCATGTGCTGCATTTATTTTCATAAAGTCAAGCAAAATTCAAAACAAGTGTTTGGCCATTGTCCAAGTCATTCTTGCTGTGCCAAACTGGCAAACGTCGCTCATCTGTGACTGTCCAAAGGTGCACTCAATGGCAACAATGAATGACATTTATTTGTTGCACTATTTTCTCGTTTGAAAATAGCTGTAGTAAAATACCTTTTGTGTTTGGAAGTAATTTTGCTAATTGGATCGGCCAGTCAAAATTGAAACTAGCTCTTTGCTAAATTCAAAGTTCCATTTATTCCAAATTCTTTCGTCTGATAAATGCACTTGTTGCTGACAACAACAGAACTCTGTTGCAAGTTTATTTTAAAGTAACAAGTGGCTGACCCCTCACTGACAGCTCTTGACCTGTGCGCTGGGCAGCACACATTATCTTCGGCTATCCTCGGCACTCTCCGGCTCTCTTCCGGTGGCATCACAAAATGGCCGCACCGGATGTAAACAAGGCATGGCTCCGTCGTCTGCTTTATGTTTACCTTAACACAGTTTGGCCTACCATACATTAATGTCATCCTATCCTAATGTCTGCGAAGTAATGGTAACACATACCAGTTCACATATATGGCATAATAATCAGGCAATTTAAGGTTAGTGTACATTCCTGCAGATGATAATTTTCTTGTCCTCTTGGCGTCTGGCGTTACGCAATCCCATATGATGACAGCTGGCTTAGCAGTAACCAACTTCTAAATATGGAAATACCCTGTTTATTAAATACCAATCCTGTTCTATTAAATATGTAATATTTCTACATTGTCGGATTGGTGTTATAAAGTATATTTCACAGCGTTTTCCCACTTGATGTGATAGTGAAGTCACCTTGTATTCAATAATAATATAATGTATTATATTATATGGCCAACAATTTGCCTGCAATCTGAGAAATATGTATTATGTAATATCCATTTACTACATTCATTTTTAATACATTTGCTTAAATTCGGCATTCATTCTGGGTAGCCTCACGTGGCTTACCTACTGGGTGTATTGTCATACTGTTGGAGCTAGCCCCATATGGACTGGTATGATCATCCAACAGGCAGTCATACCCCACTCCTCTTAGCCACAATTCTAGTACAGGCCAGGAGTCCTTTCGTGGTTATTAGGCTTACGTGTTTCAACCGGTTATTTATACATGCCTATCCTATTCCAAATGCGCTGGGATAAATATTCCCTCACTTTGGGTTTAAATGTATGTTTTCAAAATCTCTATTGGCCGCTGTTAAAGTGACTTCACCTCACGTCTGGTGGGATCTTATATGTATCCTATATGGTAGAAAGGATGTGATGATTATATTGGGGGATTATTAGTTAATGTCATTTCCGTAAACAATCATTGTCGTTGTGCATTTATTTATGCACATATGCCTTTTTGTATCAATAATGCGTTTGCATAGTCCTTAACATTGTCATTTTCTCTTATAAGTATTATCATCACATCCTGAATATCAGTTGGATTATTGATGATTCTTTTAATATATTTCATAAGCTCTTTCTGCCTGCACTGCCTGGACACCAACATCACCAGCTAGCCCTGCTCATTTTGTTTTAGGTGTTTTCCAGTCTGTGCGGCCAGGACTTGCACCCTGTAACTTCCTTACTTTATAATACTGTAGTGATTTTACTTCCGCGAACAATATGGTGATTAACTGCCCTGATGGTTTCGCCAATTAATAGTCTGATCGTCCGGCACGATCTGCGTAGTGTTATTCTAAAATGCGGTCCGCGACTGTTAGCTCAGAACTAGGGATTTTACCTTTCTCGAAGCTTCGTTGCAGACGATCCCTTTTCCGGCAGCGCTCGGCCACGTGCACCTCGGCCTCGGCTGCCCGAACACTTCCGAGGGAAACCGAATGTCTCCGACGGAAGTAGAGATCGTCTCACACAACACTCCTCCCTGTTTTCTAAGCTCGGGTACATCCGAGGACGTCCGTCATTGCTGAAGGTCCTCCCCCATCTTTTCTGCTCAGGCACATCCGGAGACGTCCGTCATTGCTGGAGGAACACCTTATTTTTTAGCCGCTCTGGCACATCCGAAGACGTCCGTCATCGCTGGGAGGGATGCTTTAATATTGCTGGAAACCCTACTCCACACATTCAATCATGCGAGGCGTTAAGGGTTTGTACCCATGAATGGACACGGGTACTTGATTTACTGTGTCAATATGGAGTTTCTATATTCTTGCAACCTTACTCCACACATTCAATCATGCGAGGTGTTAAGGGTCTGTAGGTTTAATGGTATCCCCACAGCCTATGGCATCAGATAATTTAAGATGCAAAATACCCATGAATAGACACGGGTACTTGATTCACTGTGTCTTGTATTTCCTTGTACGTAGTTTTTAAATCCTTGCAGCCCTACTCCACACATTCAATCAGGCGAGGTGTTGAGGGTTTGTACCCCACAATTAGCATCGGATAATTAAGATGCAAAATACCCATGAATGGACACGGGTACTTGATGGGGTGAGTTGTGTTTATCGTGGCTGTACCACTTTCCTGACCCCCAGGAGTAACCCGGGTGTCCTTCTAGTCACTTACTAGAAGTGGTACAGGGCTTGGCTGTTGGCTGTGGTGGTGGCGAGAACCGATTCCACTGTTGTCCCACGGATCCTTGATACCAAGTAGGCCACCTCGCCTATATCATTGGGGGTGCTGATCCTGTTATTTCTCGGAGACAGGTAGGGTGCATCTGTCTCTAGGAGTAGCCTATCTTCTGGTACCCTCCTTACAGCTCTCTTTTGTTGAGATGTGAATCTCGCCACCATTCCAGAAAATCCAAAGTAGGCCCTGGGGAATTTGACCAACCAGGCCTCTAGAACCTGGTAATCTCCCCCAAAGCAATGGACATGAATGGCCATGACTGATACACTATCTGCTTTGGATTCCTGGCAGTGCCTATCTAGGATGCCTATAGCAAGGCAATGGGCCACAGCACCAAAATTCTTCTTTTCGTCCATTGCGTTGCCACGGCAATGGACTACCACCGGTAGGCCTGATGGCTTGAGTTTAAGCAGGCTTTGGAACACCTCCCTCTGTCGCACCCAGGAGGCTGGAGGGGTGGACTGGTCGATACCGATCTCCCCTAGGGCGACGACTTGAGGCTGTTTCAGGAGGTGGCAGATCTTCTCCTTGATAGCCTGGTTAAATTGGTCTGCCTTCTTAGGATGCAGACCAATAGCGTGGTGGATCCTTGTGTCCTGGCCTGTGACCTTTGGATATGTGCCCGGGTCACAATGTACGGACACCACACTAACCAACTGAAATGGTCGATCTGGATGTTGCTGGGGTCCTGGCTTTAGGGTGTCCTCCAAAGACCTACTTTCTAGGTACTTGCCAAACTGTCTAAGTTGGAGACGATCCAGATGACAATGAGAGTCAATGGCTTGAGGTGAGATGGGACCCGCAAGGGACTGACCATCAAACTCTGAGGCACCCTCATCCAAGACGAGGACGTCCAAAACCTGCTCCATATAACAGGGTGTCCTGGTTACTGAATGGGGTGGTAGTAACGTACGCCGGGGTATCATGATGCGACATACATTAACTGGTTTACCTGACTCCCTTAAAACCATGTCCACTGTTGTTCCATTTATGGTTAGGATATGATTTTTCATGTCAATTTCGGCACTATTTTTCAGCAAGAAGTCAAAGCCCAGGATTATATCATCTCCTATTGGAGCCACATATACAGG